AAAACAGTGTTGTTTGTCTTCTACAGCAGTTCTTTCGTAATGAAATAACCGACCACTTTGCTGGTAGTCGCAGCGTTATTGTTGGAAGAAGCACTTCTAACCAGCGCATTGAAAGATGGTGTGGTACGCTACGTCAACAAGGAATACAGTGGTGGATTAACTGGTCGTTTCAATGAACTCGACCAGATACATTGAGAAAATTTGAAATTTTGTTTTATGAACCTAATACAAACACACTTGGATAGAATTGCTCAACAGTGGAATGTACATGAAATTAGACCTCAGCACAATTCCGACGCACATTACGGAAAACCTGACATTATGTATTTTTTACCTGAAACGTTTGGCGCGCTTGATTATGGTACAGTGGTTGACAAACGTGATGTGACCTGTTGTAAAGACATGTATTCAGTTCCAAAGAGAAAGTTTGACGAATTCAGCGAATTGGCTTATCTATTAAAGCCCGACCTCCAAATGCCAGTAGATGCCGATTTAGCATTGAATTTGTTCCTGGAGTTGAATGATTTAGTGGCAAACTCGTATGAAGACTGAAGTCTTTTTAAGCCATAAAGTTGTTTTGTGAGAGAACAAATGATCAACACGATCCATCATCATCATATCTTCATCATCATGATTATCATTATAAGAATGTAGACTGCAATGATGATTGTCATGATGCTGCTCCTCATGATGAAGGTCGACTTTATAGTTGTTGATGATAAGCAGAAGTTGATTTCGATGACAATGATTATAATCATGACGATGATGATAACTATATTAAGGATGACGATCGTGATGATGTTGTAAACTATTAGTATAATATATTTTATAGTTCATAACGTACGTGGCATATGATTATTGTTATGTTTGACAGTCAATTGTTAACAAACGAATATGTCACGAAAGTCAAATGTTATTTCTTGTTTTCCATTTGTAAGTGGTTACGCGCCCACGATAAATTGTCTTAAAAGAAAAAAAAATTTTTCTAATGTTTGACAGTCAATTATAACAAACGAATATGTCACGAAAGTCAAATGTTATTTCTACGTTCAAATACATCATGGCTCACAAAGGTCTGTTTGTAACCGTTAACGTTTCAGTCAAGAAAAACTACGAATCTGTGACAAGTGTAGACCGAATTAGTCTGTGCAGACTTACTAGGGCCTATATACTTAACTTTCAGTTAATTAGAATCTGGCTATTAAAATAAATTCACTGCCTCACGTTCATCTTTGTAGACCGAATGCATAGGATATCTAGCCAGTACTACCCGTATTCTTCCTAGTAATCGCCCAGGGCGCTTAGAAAATTGTGAAAGGTGGGCGCTTATTAGGAGTCAGGTCTTACAAAAGTATACAATATGTAAGAGTCACAGCTATGCAAATTCTGTTGATATCTCGTATTTAAAGTGGTCCCGTTTACTGACAAATCACTACAATGGGTTTGAAATGTGAATATTCACAGTCTTTCCTTGTACAGTGAAATTTTCTAGGCCCGCGGACATGTATAAAAATTTAAAATGTCGATTGTGGTCAATTGATTTTTTTTCTTTTAAGACAATTTATCCTGGGCGCTTAACCATTTACAAATGGAAAAGAAGGGATGGGCGCTTATAGAAGCATTGGCTCTTATTAGGGCGAATAGGTATTTATCCGTGGTAAGATCAGCTTCAAGAATTTCCAGGATGACGCATTTGTAAAGCTAAGGACGTTTTAAACGATATTGCAATGACACTTCGTGCACAATGGTCAGACTTGTGACTTCGTATTTCTGACTAGAGACTTCCTATTTGTGACTTTTGACTTCTTACGTGTGACTTCCTACTTGTGACTTTTGACTTCCTACTTGTGACTAGTGACTTCAAACGCTTGTGGTCTTGACTTTTTACGTATCGACCTCAAAATGGATTAAACAACTAGACTTTTTCTAGCCCTAGTATAAAGCGCCCGTGTAGGGCAAGGTCATGCACCAAAACTATGATTTTTTGTTCTTATTTCACCAGTCCTATTTTACTCTAGCAAATTTAAGATTGGCATAGCACAGCTTTGGATACGAGACACCAGCACACGGAAGGTGGTTCTTTTTGTTATATTTTCCTCTAGATGACAACAATATCATTCTCAGCAAAGCTTCTACTTAAGCTCACGCAAATTAAAAACTACAATAAGAGCGTCATGGGCAGCACACTCGACTATTCTTAGTTCTTGGTAGTAAAATGAAAACCATCTTAGTCGACAAGGCCGTCAATTTTAACAAAATGCTTGACAGAGTTATCTACCCATGTCTAGGGATTGGAGTCATGGTGGTTAACAAGTCTGCACAATTTCAAAGCGATATCTTCAGGGACTTGGAACATAATTGATGTGGAATGAAAAATTGGACAGAACATTTTAACTAACGCCGACGCCCGGATGAGGTGAAAGCTCTCCTTATTCTTCGAATAGTCGAGCTATAAATTACAGGATGTAAAGTCAAGGACGATTAACACAATTGTGTTCTAAAAGCACAACATGACAATATCTTTTTTTAAATGTTAGTATTTATTATAATATTGATTTAAAAAAGAACTTTTATTTAACAATAAACAATTGAAGTAGAAAAAAATCAGTATTTATTATAATATTGATTTAAACAGCAATAAACAATTGAAGTTCCATTTCTTGGAGCCGCAAACTAGTAGTTGGGGGCTGTTTTTTCTTCTTTGCCTTTCTATTTTTAATCTTGTTTATGACCTTCTTTATACGTTGTTTCCTATGTATGTCCTGTAAATTACAAAAAGTTAAAATTTCGAAAGGTGCTTCATTTTGTGCTTCATTTTATCAACATTGCTTACCTGGTGTTTTAATAATATTATTTAATCACTGTTGCACAAGAGATAGTATTTTGTGATTTTGTGTACTTCATTCAAACATTCTCAATTAATTGAAGTTTCAGAATTACAATTTTCTAATACTAACCATTAACGGCACAAAGTATACTGTCATGAGATAATCAGATTACACATGGTTTAGTTGTTTTTATAAAACATAGCAAATATATTCCGTTACAAATGGCATATTATTATTAAGGGGAGGTAATTATGAGAGAACAGGAAACATATCGGTACAAGTCGATGACCTAAAAGAATTGAAGATGGGTAGGTAGCGGGCACTACAATATGATAAACAAGATCAACAAGGAAAGGCGACGTTCAATGAACGCAACCCCCATATGACCCAGCAAAAAGAACCAATGTTTTTTGATTTGGTCTAAGCACAATTAAAAACTGAATCACTTTAGTTTAGAAGGATTAACTTTATCAAAGTTAATTCTTCTTTCAAGTAAGCTTAAATTCAATGAATCTATGAAGCGAAAAGCACAGTTTTACGGAATACCGTTAGGGCCATCGTGGTTGTACGTTATATTTCAGAGGGCGACAATGTGATAGTGCGACAACACGATGGTGATAGTACGATTTCGACAACGCGATAACACGAGGACGACAATGCTATAGACTATCACATTATTGTCATCGTACTATCGCATTGTCGCCATCGCATTATCGCACTGTCGCATTGTCGTACTGTCGTCATCGCATTGACGCCATTGCATTGTCGCGTTGTCATCATCGCACTATCGTACTATCGTCACTGTACTCTCGTACTATCGCCATCGCGTTGTCGCACTATCACATTGTCGCCCTCTGGATTATAACGTTCAACCACGATGGCCCTAACGGTATTCTGTACTAGCAAAGTTTTTTTTATTATTTTGATTTCTGACAAGGTCTAGCTGATCAACTAGCTAGCTGAACCAAAGTGTTTTTGAACCACTTATGGCCTCCTGAGTCTAGTTCTGGCTTTCAAATATAATATGCCGTTTTTTTCATCTGAGAAGGCATTTTGTTCCCGTATTAAATGTACAGTAAACTATAAATATGGGAACGTCGAATGTGTTTGACCAACCCGAATCCAGTGATAAATCTAATTCTCATATACATGGAGAGGACCAGGTGAATAACCTTGATGAATAAAATTGGTGTGTAATTGTATTTTATGCATAATCAGTCATTTAAAGAAGAGGAGTGTGAATGGTATAAATACACTAAACGAAATCGATCATTCCGACAACCTTTTCTATGTACATGTATATATAGTGGTCAGAATAATTATGTATATATATACTTGTATAGAATAATTACAACGATTCTTGTATAAACACTTATCATAGTACCATCATTTTATATCAGTAAATGCCTTTTGTAATAATTCAATCTTAACAAGAAGCCAATACTTGATTTGGCATATATTTTGAAAACTCGAGCTTATCTGCAAGTTTAAATCTTAGTACTTATAAGTTTCATTAAGTATAGATTGTTTGATTGATGGAAGTTAGACTCGGTTCCCCCGTGAGGCTTGAAAGGAGTCACTTTTCTCACATTGAGGAGAGTGTTAATTTCTTATGGTAAACGCATCTAGATCTCAAAGAACAAAAATACACAGACCGTCCAAATTGTATTGCCCGATTAGTGATGGATATGTATAACATCGCTAAATTACATTATTTAAGAAGAATATTCAAGCAAATTATAAAAACTTACATCATCTGACAAATCGCTCTCCGCCATGTTGGATCTCCTGGCTTAAAATGAGCGGCAATGCATCATCACAAATTACAAGTCACAACTTAGAAGTCACAAGTCACAACTCCCAAGTCAATAGTCAAAAGTCATTAAGTCAGAAGTCAAAAGGGCCCTCCAGTGCTTCCATAAGTTTGCGTCCTGAAATGATTGTTGCCGTTTCCTGCGCGGCGTCCCCGGAAGGTATTGGAGATGCGTTGTTGTGGATAGTACGGAACAGAACTTAACTAATTTCATCATAAAAAAATTAAGTTTGCGTAATGGGCGTCTTACGCCTTTGTATTAAGACATTTATAAGAATCGCATTTTATATTTTATCGTTAAATATAGGCTGATGCGTTAAAATAGTGGATAAAGGATGGAATCATAACATAACCAGACATAAGTAAAGCAAACATTTTAATATACTCAATTTGTTCGTGTAGTATATATCAACATAGCATATATTAATACAAATAAGATACTTGGCAAAATGTATTTAAATGTTCTATTGTTCCTAGAAAAAAAGTATTTCTATATTCTCATAGTGTATATCTAAACTTAAGGTCCGTGTCTATAAGATTTTCTGCCAGCCACTCGTCAAACATTTCGTTCTGTGCTACTGTAAAATGGTTTTTCCAGTCACCGACTTGACCTATATAAAATATATATGGTTTATAGAATAACTCTTTGATTAGAATTGTTCATGAAAATGTAAAATGCAAGTATCATGTTAATCAAATATTTTCTAAGGTGACTCTTCATTGAATAATCGTGACATTTATGTTATCTTTATAGCAATGCACGTTTGTAATGTCGCTTTGTGTCGGTTGATCGTTATGTGTATAGAAAGGCTGCTATTTAATTTTTTAAAGTTATTTCTATTAATTCTCCAATGAAGGCATTTTGCTGCATTATAAATTAGTAATGCATTATGAATTTGTAATACTTGACAGGCTATACGGCCTTATTTAAACCTTTTTTACATATAACCCCAGTAGCTCAGGATATGTATGCAAACAACCGTTTATATCAGGCCATATAATCTGCCAAAATCTTATTACAATATAACAGTTAATTAATGGGTAAAATTCACATTAAATGAATTTTATGAATTCCTTACAGATGCTGATCATCCTCTAGGGTTATATAAGATTATCATGTTTTTTACTGGGTAATATTTTTGTTTGTTTGATTGGGTTTAACGTCACACCTACACAGTATAAGGTCATATGGCGACGTTCCAGCTTTACTGGTGCAGGAAGACCTTAGGTGCCCTTTCGTGCATTATTTCAGGCATGAACTGGCACTTGAGTCACCGACGTTCCGTAAGCTAGTTGGATAGCTTCCTCACACGGACGAATCCAAAGTCCCTGTCAGGATTCGAACCCATAGCGGTGAGGGGAAAGTGCTTTGAAGTCAACGACCTTAACCACTCGGCCACGGACGCCCCTACTGGGTCGTTTAACGTTATTTCTATATAACAGATCCTGTATGTGGTGGGTTGTTAACACACTTTTATATATGTATAAACGAGTTATTATCCTTCTTAAACAATTTTCAAACATCAAAGTATATGTAAAATATGTACTGCAAATATTTGTGCACATTGTATATAATCATTAAAATATATGCATGTATTTCTTATTGAAAAATGTGACTTAGACTTTAAAGAAAATAAATTTCTAATTACCTCCCTTTATTAATATTAAATATCTTTGCAAATAATGCTTTTTGGAACTTACAATATTGATAAATCTTCATTTGAGCATTATATTTATGATATAGTACCATAAAAAATTGAGTTACAGGATCTTTAACGTTTTCACTAAATGGGTGTTTTATACACGTGCATTAAGCAATGTAAATAACCTTTACTCTTTTTCAATAAAATAAAAAATAACGGAAAGCAGTTGACTCCTCCTCTTTTATATACTTAGTATGGGAATCATGACTGTTGCATAATATGGCATCTTATATATTTATAGAGGAATTTAAGAGCATACTTGTTTATTATGTTAAACGTTTTTTCTTTACCTTAATTAAACCTTTTATCTTATGATTAATTACCTACACCTTTCGTTATATAAGTATGCAATCTATATAGTCACCTTTTCTATACATTGGAGACGGCTTTCCAGCAGGTTTTTTAGGGTCCTCCTTGATTTTAACTTCAGCATCGGCTTTTTTAAGGTTTTGGAAATCACATGCTTTAGCAATATCCTTTACAAGTTCATCACTTCGCCCAGTGTCCAGAAAATTGTTGATTTTTTTAATCTCTCTTACGGGATCCTGCCAAACATAAAAACAGCTAATCAGATCAAATGTTGAATTTAAATAGATCTTTCAGTAACACAATAGCCTGACTGAAGCTTGTGTGAAACATTTGATTCACAAAGATTATCTAAGTTGTCTTACAACAATACACGCATAAAAGTGTGCTAAAGCTATTCACAAATTCACCAGTTCTTGTATAAAGCCTACAATATGAATTGTTAATTTTCCTTAATTTTTGGTTTAGAATGCTCGAGACATGTGTTGTTCAAATGTTGAGTTTGTTTATGTACTTGTTTGTATTATTTATTTTACCATAACATATTACCCTCTGCACAACGACACCCTTTAGATAACGATTTTACCTCAAGAGAGATTATTTTTTTTTGTAAAGTTTCATTTTGTAAAGAATAAATACTGACTGTCGCTGCAAAGAGGCTATTGCTCTACAAAGGGTCGCTCGGCAGAGGCTACCCTCTCAACTTACCTCTTTTAAGTCTTCATAGAAAAGATTGAGAATTTGTTTAGGATGCGCCTTGGTAAACCTCTCCCATTCTTTAACATACGTAAACCATGGATAAAACATGTCTGAAATAAATATACATATACACGTTTGATGAGTGTTTGAAACTTGCACGAAAATATTTATATTGTTACAATACTCTCTATGCTCGAAGGTTTATCTCTAAATCATTTCATATATTGTCAAAATTGTTACCAATGTATACAATACTTATTAAATTATTTACAACATTTACCAATACGATAAGAAAATGTGTTGATACGAACAATAAGAGGGTACGAACTTTCAGAAAGTAAAATGAAATTTCTCAGCAATCGAGTTGACCAATGCATTCAAACTTAACTGAAAATCAGTCCACTTAATTACAAATATTGAAAATCAAAAGAAAACGGATGTACAGATCCGATATAATAAATAGCATAATTATTGTTTCGTTTGTTTTCTTTTTTCATTTATAGAAAAAGCTATCTTTGCTTTAGAATTAGGTATATAGAATAGATATTTGTCAAAAGATTTGACAGCTAAGTAGGTGGTTTCTGGACAAAACCCGTATACTATTATTTGATAATTATCGAATGTAATTGAATAAATTGCTAAATTTATGTCTTGTAAAAACATTTACTTTACAGTTGATAAGATTTTTATCCGGCGAAATTATCAAAATCTCTGATAAAGAATTCTTATTATCGTGAATTAAGTATGCTAATCAAATTCAACTTACATATCCCATAATCTCCTGTCATCAATGGTAGGTATTTGTCAAAGCTCTGCGCAAGAGGTCCAGTTTTAAATGTTTTGTGATGGTGGTAGTACGATACAAATGCATCTTTCGGATTCCTCATCACGTGCACTATCTTTGTCCCCTTCTGTAAGACTCCCTTCGGTAATAATTTACTGGGATAGTGGCAGTTTAATACTCTTGGTGACGGGCTTTTGTCGACCTCTTTAGAAGATTTGAAATCCAGGAATAATGTCTCCTTCTCCCTAGTATCATATTCAGCGTCTCCGCGTTTAAGCATCACGAGAATTTCCCACACCCAATGTGTACCTTTTAAAAATATAGAAATCATGTGTTATTTATAAAATATAGTTCCCAAAAAATATAAATAATTTGAATCTGCGTCACGACAAAACCAACATAATGGGTTTGCGACCAGCATGGATCCAGACCATTCTGCGCATTAGCGCAGTCTGATCAGGATCCATGCTGTTCGCTATCAGTTTCTCTATACTTGTAATAGGGTTTGTAAGCGAACAGCATGGATCCTGATTAGACTGCGCGGATGCGCAGGCTGGTCTGGATCCATGCTGGTCGCAAACCCATTATGTTGGTTTTGTAATGACGCGGCTCATATGTACTTTTGTTGAATATTTATTTTATTTGCTAGTACAAGTATATAGATGTATATGAAATACAGTTTGATTATTTTAAAGCTACATGCATGAGCCAAAATATTTCGGAAAAGACTTCAAAAAATGTTCTCAAATTATAAGTAAAGTAAAAGGTTTCAAGTAAGAGTCAACAAGATATGTGCTATAAATAACTTATTAGTATCATTCATCCTATTTCTACAGCGTAACTAATGCAGTAAAGGCTATTTTTTGCATGTCTTTTATTCTTTTTGATAATTTACGCGGATTGTTTGTGCAAATAACTTTTATTGTTCATTTCAGATTTTGTTTACTTTTAAATACACTTTCAAAATGTTCATGAAAAAAGCATGAATCTGGAGTAATGGTGCTTGAATATGACGGTTTTTCATTGTTGGGACAAATGACGATATACATATAGTTTCAAATATTCTCTTTTAAAGAAACACACAAACCATAGTTCGCCATAATAATATTCAATTATTCCCCTTAAGGAAAAGGAACGCAATGTAAACGACATAATTATGACATTGTTATTCAGTTATGGGCACGCAAGGACTTGTAGCAAAGATAACATTTTCACCCCGGGCCTAAAAATATATTATTTGTTTCCCGACCCGCTACCTACCCACCATAAATACTTTAGGTAGAAAAAAGTAATTTTTGTTAAAAAATATATATATTTCCTACCAACCAACCTACCTACCGACTGACCCACCCTACCCTACACAAACTGGCAGGGATTGCGGGTGGAGAAACATAGATATCTTTAGATAAATCAATTCATTTCCAGGACGTGGTAGAGAGGACTTATATAATGGTAAGAACATCTCTGCTAATTTAAATCCCTATATTACTTAATAAAAAATATAGAAGATAAATTAGTTAATTAAAAATGGTCTGATGATTTCTAATAAGGTGCATTAAAACATACACACATTAAATACTCTACATGGAAAAAAACCCAAAGAAATCGCATGCCAAAGTATGACATGTAGTTATAAAGTAAAAAAAAAATCGAGATTTAATACAAAATAACAATTATTACCGCATTTTGGAAACGTAGCGAGGTATATATCATCGTCTCGGATTTCCAAATCTCGAATTTCTTCAATGTGAGTTTTTAAATCTGTGTCTTTGAAAAACTTTTGAACAACCGCACTGTAAAAGAGATAAAACTCTTATTTATTTATTTATATTTATATAAAACATATATGATTTGTTCCAATATATTACTGTAGGTCTTAAACAAAAAGCTAAAATCTGTGAACAGATAAATCTCTTATTTATATATAAGATATGCGCCAACTTAAATGAGGTCTTCAACACACAAAAAATAAATCTGTGAAGGAACCCTATCAATTTCAAAAGCCTGAAAACTTAAAAGTTGACTGTCTTACATAGATAAACTAGGGAAAATAGAAATATATGCAAAAGATATCAGGATTTGTGTTATTAGTAGTCAGGTTTGGTTAAAGATTTTCTTATCCTTTTCATTTTCGGTCATTTTTTACAATTTAAAAGCTTGAGAAGGAAAGATTTTAACTTTTGCACACAGTTAGCGGTCCAGACCTCCATCAATGGATACATAATTTTGGAATCTCCAATATCATCATTTGAAAAAAACTAGGTGGAGCCTCTATAATAAGCTTTTACATTCACCAAATGTTCATAAAAATTCGGTTCATTTCGTAATTTTCCGTACAAAATAGCATTGAGTGGTAATAATGATGTTTTTCTATATTTATATCAACGTTATATGGACATGTCTTAAAGGCACATTATGACGGATAATTTTTATTTCATTACCAAGGAAAAACAGGAGTTTTATTACATTTAAAAAAAATGATTTAAGAGCATGCTTGTATTCTGAAGAAAGTAGCGATAAAATTTAATGTAAAATAATTTGTAATAAAAGTAGCTAAATGTAAACACAGTAGTATATTGACACCAAATTACTATAATTGTAGTTAATTCCAATAAATACCTATGTTACTATATATAGTAACAAAATCTAGGGTATTTCAGGGCCGTTATGGCAAGATCTAGGTCATTATGCAATTTCGGCCGCCTTGCTACTCGGCATTATTTTTCCATAATGGGCGAGTGAATGAGCGCACGTGCAGAATGACGTAATCAACTCTCAGTGACTTTCAAGATGGCTGCTGACGTTGAATGAACTGTAGTCACTTGCACACAATTTTTTTTAAAGTTTAAATGACATAATTAATCACAATCAGCAAAGCTTATCATTGAAGATTTATAAACTCAAGACAATACATGACCCTCAGAAATTCCAAAAATGATTTTAGATTGACTGTACGAAAAGGTCGGATCGTTCGCATTTAGACCTAGACAGTCTCAGAAACCGCTCTTGAAGGCACAAAACTTCAAAAACCTGGCACTAGATCTAAATATAATTCTCTCAAAAATGTAGAGTAGGATTCTGTATTTCGGACATAGGTATTAAAGACGTTAATATACTTGGTTGCTGCTCGCCATTATGCGATAATGGCCCTCGAGTTCATAATGTTCTTCGGGCCTGCGGCCCTCAGGCCATGACCATTATCGCATTATGGCGAGCAGCAACCAAGTATTAACCTCTAAATACCAACAGATGTAAAGATGGTTCAGGTTATTGGTCAGTGAGTAACTTTGTTAATATTGAAAAAATGTATAATAAAAAGCTTTTCAGAAAAAAAAACATTAATTATTCTTGGCCAAAATGGGCCTTTAAGTTGATAAAAAAAAGGCTGCTGTGTACAAGTAAACGCGTGGGTGTTCTCCACTTCACTATTTAATATATAAATTATCAGTCGTAATATCAAAACAAATTCCCATTAAGTTATACTCGTATACATATATTTTATCGTAAAAAAAATTCTTTTTACACCGGCCATACTCTTTACGATGCAAGTTAATGAAGCGTTACTTAGACTTGTTTATCTTTTACACAAAATGCATTAAGGCTAATCAAGAGAGCTATGTAAGGCCACATGTGTCACAAATCACATTCGTCACAATTGTGAAGAATGAGATCACATTCGTCACAAATTTTGTGATGCATGTGATCCAATGTTTTAGACAATCACATTCGTCACGAGTTTAAAATCACAAATGTCACAAATTTGAGATAAATATTGTTTTCTTCAATGCTTTTCACTGAGTCACAAACGTCACAAATTTTTAGGACTGAAATCAATTATTGGAACTAAAACTACAGACATTTTTATCCCCTCCCCCGCTGATGAAATCGGGAGTGATGGGACTGTTTTAGCGTGTTCGTCCGCCTGTCAGTCCAGATTTAGTTTCCGCACTATCCGGCCATTGATTAGTTATTATACACTGTATATGGAATCATTTCGTTTCCACGCTATTTTTCAGCAACTTCTGGATGGATATCGATGCTGCAACTTTGTAGGAACCTTCATTCACAAACCAGTTGCACATATAACCAGCATATCTCCATTTCTATTTAAAAACAGACTTATTGCCCCTTGTTGTTGTTGTTATTTATAAAACACTGTATATAGAACTATTGCTTTTCTGCGCTCTAGGAATTTCAACGAAATTTAGTTTAATATAAAGAGGAGATGCGCATCTCGAAAAATCTCGACGGGACACTAAAGGATTTGGTCCGACTTGAGGGTACGGTCGCTTATATGGGCTTTCCGGCGGCGACTTTAGATAAACACATAAACAAACAAACAAGATGTGCATATCATCATCATCATCATCATCATCATCAGTATTTCCCGTTTGGCCGTTTAATACAGAGTTATGATCCATAATTTATTATCATTTATTGTTCATAGAAAAGCATTAATTCAACCCTATTCTTCAACAAATCTGCTGAATAATTTAAACAAAACTATGTGGGTACATCTAATACCAAGCGGAGATGTGTATATTGACGGCACTTACCCGAAGTTAAGACCCCTGGTTGCTTAATATTCAGTCAGATAACTTAAGTATTTCATGTCTTCAAATGTTAAATATATCTAATTTTAATTGTGTGGGAACCTTCAATACAAAAAGGGCATGTGCATTATCGCCGTGACCTTGAGTGATATGGGCCCTGATAATTTATGCTTTAACCGACTATTTCCCCGGAGTCTTTATTCGAAATGTATCCTGCAATTGTTTAATTTTCAATCAGTATATGATGCTGTCGGCGGTAAACATTAATTCAGCGAATTTGCTTGCAAGATATTTGAATGACCTCGTGTAATTATAGCTTCGCAAGACCAATCATATTCTACAAGAAATGTTAAGTTTTCTTTAAGTTTATTTATTCAACTTCCTTCATGATTCTCATTTAACCCTTTCCTTTATAGATATTACTGGTAAAATAAATATATGAACCGCGCCATATTGAACCCTAGATGAGCCGTCAGTACTAAAGAACTCTGATATAATATAGGAATAACGCATGTTTCTTTTTTCGTGTTAAAATATCTGTAGAAACCCAAGGGATTAGTTGGTACCCGACCCAACGTATCCCGAGGGTTTCAGCAGTTGTTATGACACGGAACAATCATTCGTTAACGCTATTCTAGCATAAAGCATGCATAAATCTAACACAATCCATACACAATCAAGCAACATCACTGATTTTCCTCGGATTGCACGGGAACGTCAGCGTTGTATGTGACCGTGACGTCATTTCCGTTTTAGTTAAAGCAGCGTCCGGGCCACAATGTATTGACGCTGTGCCACGGAAAACGTATATCAAAAAGGTGTTTTAACAGCGCATGAGCGCTAGAATCTCCTTGTTAAAAGACCTTTTTGGTCCTGTTAAAACACCCCGAAATCATGGTTATAACGGCAGTTTTATGCTAGAATATAAAGTAATGAATAACAACATGGATTCCAAGAAGACTAAAAGCAAACTCACATTGCACAATACTAGCCGCAATTATAATACTGCTAATAAAGTTCACGAATTTTCATTGGTTTAGAGGCGGGATATATTTATAGGTTATTACAGAGGTCTGATGTGCCTTTATTCGATTTTGGCCCACTAAAAGAGCCCGAGGGCTAATACCGATCTTGTAGACCCATATCGCATTAAGGCACACCAGACCTGTTCTATAACCTTTTTATTGCATGTGCTCATTTATGTTTTGGTTTTCATTATAGAATTAAAAAAATCGTTTGAAAACATTGTTCAGCGACAATGTATAATTTATTTTAAAAAGCGAGGGACTTTTGACGTCGTCTAATGACGTTGACGTCATTTCCTCACAAACATTTGTTTTTAATATATTTTGGCGTTATTTAACTGTTTGGAGATTGTTTTTCAAGTGTTTCTTCAATTTTGCTTTTTTATCAAGATATATTTCAGTTAAACGTATTTTTTCTTATAAAATTGTCAATCTTTCCGCGTTTTTTTAGCAACCCGAAGTGGGAAATCGATATCGGCCCAACCGGAAGTCGGACCGATATCGATATTTGGCGCATCACGTCACCTGACCACAGTCATATTACATGGACAAAACTCATATACGTTTAAATTCACATTTTTTTTCTATTTATAGTGTTTGCCGTTGCGTATTTATAGGTTATTACACAGGTCTAGTGTGTCTGAATGCAATATTGGCCAAGAAGAGGTATTGGCCCGAGGGCTTTAGCGGTCTCGTAGGCCAATATAGAGGATATTACATGAGTGTCTTTTCATATTGAATTTATTAAACGAGTTGGATAAAATAATAAATTGCGAGGCTCTGCCGAGCATTTTATTATTTTATTCATATCACAGGTTAAATTTTGGAGCCGATAAACCGAAAAATTGTTGTTATTTTGCCTTATAAACGCGGTAAAATCAAGCGACGTCCGCTAACGTTAAATGACGTCGACGTCAAAACGATATTATACTAGTTTATTGCATTTGTTACTATAAATAGTAACAAAAATGCTAAGGAAGTGTGCTGATATTGCCCAAAGAGTGCCGATATAAGCATGCATTGAGCAAGTGTGCCAGATATCGGCACACTTGCTAGTGTGCCAAAAATCCATATCATGACGTCACGTCCGGTTGACGTAAACAAGTTTTGACGTTGGAGCGCTCAAGATATAACTTATAGTTAACTTATCAGCATAACACGCAACAGGATAGATAAAGATTAAATTTCTGCACATTTTTATATGATTTTATAGAAATTTAATGAGCAGATATTTAAAATACAAATGTTTGTGGCGAACGGAAAATGTGAAGAAAATAGACACGATTTGTTAGAAAACAGTATGGAGATAAAACATTAAACTTTGTTTAGAAGAATAACATAATTGAGTGTCTACATATGCAATAAAAAGGTTATGATACAGGGCAAGTGTGCCTGAAGGAAGATATCGGCACACTTGGTCCGCATTGGCCCTCGGGCTAAAGCCCTCGGGCCAATACCTAACCAAGTGTGCCGATATCTTCCTTCAGGCACACTTGCCCTGTATAATAACCTCTAAGTAATATGGAAAATATGTAATGGCTTTATTACACTCCCGCGACGTCAAACATGTGATAAATCGCATTTAGGCACACCAGACCTGTTCTATAACCTTTTTATTGCTAATTTATGTTTTGCTTTTCATTTTCAATATAGGGATAACGCATGTTTTTTCGTGTTATAACATCCAAATACGAGACACATAATACCGAGTTTCATGTGAATATCTTTAGATACTAGTTACAGAAAAAACTCAACACAGAGGTTAATAATTGGAAAAATGGGGTAATGTTATGGGTATTGGTATGTTAGCTAACATTTTCATCCCGAACACATGTGTTAATATCTTTTGTGGTTGTACTAGTTACAAGAAAAACTAAACGCAGAACAAGGGAAATAATTCAGTCAAAATGGAAGATTATGAATCTTGGTGTGTGACTTCAAGTCAATATCTTCTGTTGTTGTAGAGATAAAAGTTACACGCAAAAACTAAACACTGACTTTCTAAGTCGAAAAAGAGACACTATTCAGTCAAAATACATGACAGAGTTATGGAACTTGGGATGTGACCTTTCACGTTCACCTCATACACATATGTGAAGTTTTAAGTGAACAGCTTCAGTTGTGGAGAAACAAGTGAAACGAAAATAAATCTGAACATTCCGTTTAGCTTATATTAACGACAATGAGTAGGTAAGCTCTCCTTTTCTTGGAAAAGTCGAACTAAAATACTTTTGTTTGAAACGGAACATCGTAAAAATAGAATGAATACTAAAACAGCTTCACTCGCTCCTTATATAGGTTTTTTCTGTCTTGGCTTACTAGTAGTTCTAGCTTCCCGCGTGATCAACCAACACATTAAAACCAAGGTGCAGTATATGAAAAGACTGAATATCATTAATAGATTTTGTTCAATAGAAAGCGGCCAACTTTTTATCCCTTCTTTATGGACTTCACGACACAACTCCCCGTCATTATTCCATACATTAAAGTGTCTCAAAATTGCGTACTGCATCTATTTCCGAAATTTATTTTAACATGTTTGACATCAAAATTAATAAAGTTCGATTTTCCACCTTTGCATACATGAGCTTCAATTTATCTTCGGTTATAGTCATGTTTTTACTAATTTGTGAAAAGTGCGTAATATTTTAAATCGGCCATTTTTGTGAGGATCTAATTCTAACATTTATTAAGAAAATAAAACAAAATAAAACTGGCATTTATTTTACTTCAGCAATATTTCAAAAGTAAATCATTATTGAGTCATGTCCAGCGAAAGTCAACAAAGTTTGGTTTTTGCGTGGCACGACACAATTATATGTTCTAGATAACTATAGAAAAACAAAAAAATATGTCCGTGTATCTCAATAAAGTTTCTTTCAATAAGCCATCATTCTTAATCAAGACAAGTGTTTATTTGGCGAGGTCTTTGTAAGTTGTTGCTTTAACGGTAAAATATGTCGACGATTTCATACCAACCTATTCCAGATATTTTTAATCGCAACCACGCATTGAACCATCTTTTGTTATTTATTATTCGTCGGATTTCCATTAAAAGTCCGCTTCCTCGACCAGCTTTTCGAGAGAGCAGACGAACACTTACTACATTAGGTACGCTCTCCAATACCGAAGGTCCTATGTGTAGTTGTGGTTTTTCTAAGCCAATGTCTTGAAATAGTCTACGAAAACGGCTGCCGGCATGCTCAAGAACATATCTAAACGAGGGATCGCCAAATAAACACATGCTGATTATTTTTGCCTGTATGTGTAAAGGTAAATGAAAAAATGGAAAATTTTGTCGTCTTGTCCTTATGATATTCCGTGTATCACATATTGAAAAATAAACTTGTGACATTTGTGATTCGCCTGTTTAAAAATTCTCAATTTTGCTTGTGACGTTTGTGATTGGCATTTTTACCCGATTTTGGTCAATCACATTCGTCACAAAAGTCATTTGTGACGAATGTGATCACATTCGTCACAAATTCATAAAAACTTGTGACGAATGTGATTTGTGACACATGTGGCCTAACAGAGCTACACAAAAATAAAAGTTATAAAAAGTGTCGTTCTTACACATGGGTTACTGATACAGTAACACCTGCACTTATAACTTTTAACATAAGTCTCTATACAGTAAATATATACAATGTTTATAAAAAAAACTTGTCAATTATAGATCTTTTACACCAATCACAGAAACAGAATGGCCTATGCTGCTACATTTATGTAAATAGACTGAAGTAACAAAATGCATGCCCAGTCATACCTCTGTTTAAAGGTCACATGCAGAATAGACCACACTTTCCACTTAAAGTATTCCTGTATAATTCATCTTTTTTGATGGTTTAAAAAGCTCTACGGAGCTTGTGTAAGCATATGTTGTATATCCGACTTTATCTAAATAAATGTTTCTGGACTTGATGTTGAAGAGGCCGGTTTCAGGGTAAATGACATCTTTCAAAAGACCATTTTGATTAAAAGATTTATTGTCTTATTTAAAAAAATGGGCTATGAAGACGGGTGTGACTTTATACCAATTTAGCGCCACATAAACACATGATTCGTTAAGAAGATAAAATTCCTTAGTCGTTAGAAGCTGTATAAAAATACGCGGACTGGGTTCATTTTGAATTCAAATTAAGACTCAAAATGTTATTTATTACCTATAACGCCGCAGGGATATTTTACCTAGTAACGGAGATGTCAATATTGTAACGGAGAGGTCAATATTAAAAGCATCATAAACCCAATGTAAGATCTCAGTCAAGGACTTAGATGACAATAACTGTTTACATTAACTCAACAACCTACTTCTAGCAAAAGACAACATGGGGTTAGATTTACTCTTTCCCGTGTCCGGTATGAAATCGTATTTCTTGCAAAACACTTGTAAAAATAAATGATTGTACAAACGAATATGAAGATTTTTTTTCTTTTTTGAGAATGTCTACTTTCGTTCGTGCAGGCCGTTTGTTGATTAATATAAGTTCCTTGTATGTTTTACATATCAAAAGTAAGTCAAACAAAGGTACAAATTTTCTTTTCACTGCGAAACAAAAAGAAAATGATAAAAAAAATCTAAATCCAACTTACTTGTAAGTTAACCCGTAGGCGTGGATACATTCCGTCTCCGTCCCATCCGGAAGTTCAATTTTTATTTTAGACATCGTATCTTGACCTACACACTTGCCGCTTTGATATAATCGCGTGTGTTAAAATTGAAGTTAGTATTGTTTTACTTTGCAATGAGTATTTTTATACGTTTATGTATTTCTTAACGTTTCAGTGACATGTAGAGTTAACAATGTTTATTGATCCAAATAAAAGTAGAAAACGAAATCTGTAGCTGTCCTAAATTGTTTTATACCAGTCTCAGTTTTACGTCGACTAACCTTGTTCATTAACTAATATCAGGCTGATGATAACGAGCGAGTAATTTAATTACTGTTATCATTAAATGTAATCATCAGTAATGTTCTAGCTGTTCTAAATAGTGACCTTTTGTTCTAGATATTGACCTTATGTTCTAAATATTAAACTTTGAATTAAGTTCAGTAAGATCTGTTCAGGCGCGGCGAAAATGTTACTTTTTTCTAAGTTCTATTAGAAACACATCCTGTTATTTTATTTGTTCGTTGCTATTCTTTGTCAAAATTGAATTGAAGGATTTTTCTAATGTACTCGCTATAAAGACTGTACTACTTGAAAATTTTCAAAATGCCCCGGCAGTGCGATTAAGACATATCTGTTCCTTTGGCTCCAAAAAGGAATTTCACCGGACTGAACAAACCGCGGGGAAGGTTCATATATGGTCTAACAAAATGACCATAGCCGTTTCTACAATATTAGATGACGGGTCTCGATCTATATATTGTATTAAATTAACCATTATTGATTGATTGAAGTTAAAGCTTAATGAGGGTCCATCCGCCCTTTCGGGCACAAAATGCAGCTTGTTCTGTCAAGTACGGACCCCGGACATGTCACCAGTCATGTCCTTAAAGAGTTAATTTTGAAGCACAAAGTGGTGATAATTTACCTCCATGCAATTTCCACGGAGTATTAGCCAAAGATATGCATTATATAGATTAAACGTTAAATATGCTAGAAACGCATGCGGTATTGCAATGAGTTTTTCAATATTATATAAATATCATAATGTCACTTATGTTAATATATGAAAATTACATTGTTATTAAAATAAGTGGTACTTGACCTAAGAAATACATGCTACAAGATAATGAGTTAGAGCCGTAAAGTTTTCATATATACTACTGTTAAATTTCTCTATCCCATTGGAGTATCATGACGTTTAATATCCGCAAATCTTTTGTAATAGTCTTCCTTTTTTTCCAGAGCGACCAAATGACAAATTGTTTGGGGTGGAAGCGGATATGTAAACCCAACGCTTGACATGGCTTATTTATCCTCTTACCACCTTGGAGGAAATTGTTGGGGAAGTTAAACGCCTTTTTTCAATAAATGAAATAAAAAGTACTATGTTACCAGTAAAGATTAATGTATTAATTATCTAGTGGTGTAGACTAATCAAGGGAATCAACCATTACTGTCTAATTTGAAATTACCTATCGGAGTTGTTTTTCTTTGTTGTTTTTTAACATACCTGAATAATTACGAATAAATCAACGCCAACACAGTTCATTTCTTTAAAGGTTACATGGGTCGCATTAGAACAAGACTGTCGCCCTTCACTAGCCCCGTTCATGACATTTCTCTATCTATGATGCCTTGCGGACAATGAATGTAAGAATTTCTTACATGTGCCTGCCCATGACTGATATAATACATGAAGAAACATAAAGTTATAGCTTGTTTACGATTTTACAGAACAGAACAGAAATTTTATTTCGTAACTTATACATTATGTACAATATCGTGTTAAACTATATATATCAAAAATAATAAATAGCTAAGCACATGATATAATTAAAAGATTTACAGTATATTGGAGAATAAACATAGATTTACATTTTGGTTTGATTAACAGAAACCGAGAAAAGTGTTTATTTGAGCACGTTGCGAAAGAATTTGATATAACATTACGGTAAAAGAAAACAAACAAATATGATATTTGATATACTAGTACAAATTTACTTGCAACCAAATTGAAAGCAAAACAATTACATACCGTGAAAAATATATCACACATATATGACACTTTAAGTTAACTTAAAGACACCTAAAAACAACATATAACACTCATATCATTTCTTACATAGGATCTCTGTCAGTGAAAGTTAAAGAACAGTTTGGGGCTCAGTTTAATAAGTTCAAAAGAAAATCGTATTTAATGTTTAAAAGTTGTCCATTGGTTTGATTTCTCTTTACTTAGGAAAAATGTTTGAAATATTAACAAATTTAACATAAAACATAAAACTTCCGTTTGTAAAAAATAGAGAATTTTGACAGGTTATATGGACTTATATAAAAGGTCCAGCGATTTTAAAAGTAAGTTGTCGCAAAACATATCAAACATATACATGGTTCAAAGTATTTCTTCATAACATGAAAATTGGCTTTCCAGTTTGTAAAGTATATTGTATTGATACTGAACGTTGAAATCTCGTATCACGTCAGATATGACGAAATTAAAGCCAAAGTCAAACTTAAACATAGAACATGAAAATTCTCTAGCACACATATATAAAAGTAAATACATAG